GAACAGGACGGCGCCGTCGCTCGGCGCCTCGGCCGCCGCCTGCTGCTGCCTGAGCGTCACGTGCTGCCTGGTTCTAGAGCTCCCCTCGGCCTCGCTCGCCGAGGAGAGGTCGGGTGGCTGAGAGGATGTGCTGTGGTGGGACCTGCGAGGAGCCTCGCTCACTGGATTAAGAGGTGACCTACTTCTATCAGTCCTGGCCCGCGTTCTCCGCTGCTCCGGACTCCTGCTCCTCGCTCTCCTCTGCCCTCTAGGAGGGGAAGCTTCCTCGGGGGTTAGCTCCTCCGGAGCGCTCCTCTCTGACCCAGGCTGCCTTACAGATGGTGATTCAGACCTTGGAATTTCAGAGTCACTTTGGCTGTTTTCCAACTCCTCCCCAGCGGAAGGCTCTACGGAGGGCTCGTTCTCAGTTTCTGGGTTTGTGTTCCCATTGTTACGGTTGACGTTGATCTCCAGGCTGAACCTGAAGTCTCCGCTGTTGGGGTTAGTCCGGCTCACCGCTCTCCACGACTGGTTTCCTCGCTGCCCGCTCCGTGTTGTATTGCCAGTCTGTCGGACTGAATTAAGCCAGTCTATTATAGAATCTCCATTTGAAACATCTTCTGCGGACTCTGCACCTGGGAAAAAAGACAGGGAACTACCAAAATTAGAGGACTGAGCTAACTTTGGGGTGATCTTTTCCAAGAACATAACCGCTTAGTTTAACAAGCGACAATTTAGAAGCACTTAACCCTGTCGAGTGCTGTTGTGGTTTCACACGTAGCACCACGATTCTTATCTACCAGAGCTCTTCTAAGGGAGCAGGAGTGGATGTATTTCTGGGATGTACAGATGGGCTGCAGCCATCACATCGAGACAAGTCAAAGTAACACATCGTTTATCCCAAGTGAATGGAAAAGTCACATTTCAGGTGTCATAAGACATCAATATTCTTTCTTTTCCTTTCCAAAGAATTAAATGATCTATCAGCTGCTAACTAGAGAGTTAAGTTTGTCCTGACCCTTCACCTGAAGGGCTGCTTTACAGTGGATCTGCCTCACTAAAGGATGAACTCCAGTGGTAAGCTCCAAGAGTCCTCCACCCACCTCTACACAAGGGGGGGGTAACAAAAGCAGCGCAGCATCTTTGGAAAGGAAGAATAGGGAATAAAAAAAGAGGGACTGCCAATAAGCATTCCCAGAAGGGAGCAGATGGGAAGGCAACCTTAAATAAAATTGAAATAAATAAATAAACCTTAATGAAACTTTATCTTGATGCAAATAACAGATGCATCGTTGAGTGAAATCTGTCCCAACTGACCTCTGCAGCAGATACCAGACATAATGTTCACTTAGTTTTGAAACAAAGCTCACCTTGCACCTGCCTAGGCTTAACTTGTTCCACTCCTGCACTCAAGTTAAGGTCCGTACGGGGTGCTAAAGTTAAGAGTTTTCACAAATACTGTATATACCTCTATTCTCATCACTGTTTTGCTGTGGCGGACCTTCTTTAACTTGGTGTAGCCTTCTCAGCAACTCTTCTTCAGTAATTTCACCTTAGAAAATAAGCAAAATTTTCCAAAAATATTTCCAAATCATACGTATGGCAAGCATTATCAAAAGCTTCTACAGCAAGTACAAGCCAGTGCTTGTCTTCTTCCCTAATCCAATCCTGCCATAGCCAGACTGCCAAATGGATTGCTAAGGGGGAGTTCAGACACTTCAGCACCGTTGTCCCAAGTAAGTTCTGCTGCAGCTGAAGGATCCAACACCTTCAACCTCTTCCAGGCAGATGTGCTTTCTGGTTCTGTAACCTCTGCTACTTATCAGCAATCTTTGTCATCCTATACCAATTAAACGGCTGTCGAGGGGAAAATATTTAAGATAACACCTTCACAAGCAATAACAAGAAGGTTTAAATTAGTTGAAGTCACATTTTAAATTGGAATTGACTTGAATTAGGTATCATCCTATAAAGAGTCGATTTAAAGTATAAGTCAATTGAAAGCTTGACATTAAAAAGCCCAGGGAGAATCTCACACCAAACTCCTTGCCCTAGTTGCAAACTCTTAACCTCACCAGCACAACATTTTCATGCAGATGCTTGTGGGAGATTACTTCTCCATCTGAAGTGTCTAAGGGTCCAGAGCTGTACCTGGGTTAACTCTGGGTGTTGCCACCAAGCTGTGTAAACACTAGACTTCTGTATCTGATGAATCCACACCACCCTACCTACCTCTCCACTAGTCAGGGGGTCGCTCAAATTTGAGTATGTACAAACTGGCAGGAAGCTGCTTCCTACCAGGGAACACAACCGCAGCACACAAACTAAATGGGGGAAACAGTTTCAGGAGAACAGAAGATGACACAAACTGCCTAGGAGCAAGCTGTAGGTACACAAGCACTACCTACCTGGTGTTCCTAGCAAGTTGTTATCTCTCATCAGCCTGTAGTCCTCTTCGCTCAGGTTGTTGACAAACTGGTAGAAAGCTTCTTCTCGATCCAAGCGATCCAGCTGGCTCTGGCGTTGTGCTTCGGACTGATCAAGGCTTCCCTTCTCACTAGAATCTGAGCTTTCCATCTTGATGAGTGGACAAGTACCTGAAAAAGAGAAAACAAACCCTTCATCCAGTGTAAGGAAATCTGGCAGGAGACTTAGGCGTGTTTAACCTGCACTGTTCTGGTGATTCTTCAATTTGAGGGGAGGGGAAGTAGTTTGCTAGAGGAGCTTCAGTTAAGACCAGGTGCAGAACCAGTGGGATCAAACCCAAAATCATTCTCCAAGCACAAACCTCTTCAGGGAGTACAAACAATCCCAGTGAATTTTAACAGAATGAGAGGGTTGTTGAAGAATTCAAATATAGAAGAGGCTACAGGACACTGTGGATAAAAAAAAAGGTTGTTTCCCTGGAAAAGGGTCTGTAAAATCAATTTTGGAGTTTTAGATCAAGAGAAGAACTTGCTTTTCTGCAGCATTTACTGAAGCACTGATGTTGACAACTAAGACTTCCATACTCCACAGTGTATACCAGGTATATAAAATCAACTTTGGAGTTTTACATCAAGAGAAGAACTTGCTTTTCTGAAAATTTTCTTTGCAAACTTTTCTGTAGCATTTACTGAAGCACTGATGTTGACAACTAAAACTTCCATACTCCACAGTGTATACCAGGTATAACTTCTACAAAGAGCTATCTTCCAATTTGTGTATTTTTAAAACATCTTCCCCTCATTTTGTTTTTCATTTGGATGAGTTCCTTGACAACGTGCCTCTCAAAATCCCTGGAAAAGGGTCTGTAAAATCAATTTTGGAGTTTTAGATCAAGAGAAGAACTTGCTTTTCTGCAGCATTTACTGAAGCACTGATGTTGACAACTAAGACTTCCATACTCCACAGTGTATACCAGGTATAACTTCTACAAAGAGCTATCTTCCAATTTGTGTATTTTTAAAACATCTTCCCCTCATTTTGTTTTTCATTTGGATGAGTTCCTTGACAACGTGCCTCTCAAAAAAAATTGATAAATGCCACGTCTGTTTTTGATAAATATCACAATAAAATACATGCAAATGCAGGAGACATTCTGGCACTAGCTGCACCATGCAAATATCCCAAACAAAGTTAAAATGATAACTAGTTTCCTTAATCACTATGCCTCACTATTCACAACGTCAAGAATTTTCCTGTACAACTGGTAGAATCTAGTTACTCGGCGAGGTGATTAGCAAGCTAATCCTCTGCATGCTAAAAAGCTCTGCCCTAACATTCCCCATCAGAAAACATTCCTTTCATTTAAACCATACTTCATGTGACATGAAAATACTGGAAGAATAAAGCTTTTCTCCTTTTCGCTGGAACGTTTCCAACACTTATAGACATCTGTCTGGTGCAAAAAGCATCTTTTTTGGGTTTGTCAGCACAGCTGTCAAGTCAAGACTGCCCACAGTTTGCTCCTCCACAGTGCAGCAGCACTGCATGATCTCCATGGGTACTTCAGCTGCTGTTGTGAAGATTAAAGCGCACCGACGGGCTCAGTCTGGAAGGGGAGAAAATTCCACAGGAGAGGACATCACCCCATGCTTGCAGACCTGGGAATGGTTCAACAGCTACTCCAACCCTCTTCGTCCTGAATTCTGCTGCACTACACCTGGTTTGGAAGTTGGTCACGTTAAGGCACAAATGACTTTGCTGCCACTCAGGAACAGAGCACACAAGGCTGCTGTTATTACGTGGTTGTGGGGATTTCTGCCATTTTACCAAAGAAATCAGGCTCCCTTTTCCCTTTTTTTTAATTAGGGAGCAGGAGTGGGCAGGGTTAGGGCTGTTTCAAGTGGCAGCCTATCCGTTTCCTCCGTGTTGCCAAATCTCTGGTGCAACCCAAGGGCTGCGTGGCCTGTCTGAAGAGCTGCACATGACCCTGTCACAGGCTGCCAAAGGGACCTGGTCACCCTGCCACACGCCGCCAAAGGGACCCCCTCCCCC